GCATAATCAACAAAGGATGGTACAAATATCCTGGAGAAAGTCGTGACTCCGGAACAAAATTACATTTCTGCACATGACGGTGATCGTAAAAATTCTGAATGTAATCGTAATCGCGGAACAAGAACGTCTATCTTGTCTATCTTGAAACATGTCAACATGAAGAAACAGGTTTGTAAAACCTACGAAAATCGAAAGTCCAGACGAAGAATGTATCTCGATCCTCGTCGAAGGTGGACACAGAAATTCTGAAGAAAATGGTGACTTTCGCGAACAGACTGGTATATCTCCATCTTGCAAGCAGCTAAGTAAAAAGGACCTAATGCGCTATGTAGGCGTAGTACCTAGGATGATTTCGATGGAGCAGAGGACTGATCCAGGTTATACGAAAGTCCAAATGCGGCCCTGACGGCGACAGGAGCATAAGGAGAGTGTTACTTTGACGAACGGGTTCGATCTCTCTTAGCGAGTAGAGAGCGATATCGAGATGCAGCAACCAGCAACCATCGGCGTCTCGTCAGGTGTGTCTTCCTACCTGAGACTATCAGGGCGGCGCAGATCAACAGTTGTCTTCTCCGTGTGATCATCGTTCGGCTGTTCTCTGATTCCGTAATGGACCCCTGGAAGTTCACAAGGCACTGGCACCCGGATCGAATTTAGCTTCGTGTTGCGACAAGGTGATTTTCCATCGGGCGGTGCACTTGGTGAACCTGGTCCTGCAGCACTGGCGACGACCGGAGTTCGCCAGCAATACCTTCTGCCTTCTGCCGTGGGGACTCGGAAACCGGACGGTAGAGGAACCGTTCCTTAGCTCATTGGCTGACCACTTTCCACCACTGTCCCAGTCCGCCGAGAAATCATGGCTTTTATTTGCGTTCCACGTGAAACGTCCGCCACTGAAAGTCCACAGGCTCTTTCGTTTCATCTGCGATTCTGATCACGATCTATTATTGTCAATGATCCACCGGACCCCGGGCAATTTTTTGGCGGGCCCGTCGATCCTGTATCCGCGGGAATCGAGACAGGATTTCTTTTTTTTTTCTTTTTTAAGTTCTGCTCGTGCACACTGTTGGTGGAAAGTATGCACGTGGATGTTCCCTTAATTGCAATTAGTCGAGAATAATCTGAGAATTATTAATGAACTTGAGTTACCGTCATGCGTTACGTTTTGCATTGTTCACGTAGAATGGAATTCCAGTTATTCGACGTGCTCGGAACCGAGACGGACACTTCGAGAAATCCGGTGATCGAGATGCTACGAAAATATTTTAGGGCATCGAAGTGTTCAGAGAAATTTTTTTGGATTCATTCGATGCCGAACAGGACTGTGTTTATTGTTGCTGATATAAAGAAACTTGCCACGAAGTAATATAAGTATGTTAAGCGGTGTAAAATCCGCAAAGGGGTTAAAAAAATGTTCTGAAGGTGCAGAAATCTTCAGGATATTTTCTCGTATTTATTTCGTGCAAACAAAATTTATTTATCATTGCAAATATCGATAACAAATGATCCTTGCTGTTTTTTCTATAAGACGCAGTGTAAAATCCCGTACGAATCAATCCATGGTTAGACAATAGTGGCGCCTCTTATGGTGAATTCAAGAAGCTCTGTCTAATATCTGTAGAGCGTCAATTAGTAAATGGCAAGACGCTGAAACTTCTAGCCAAACAATAGCGTCTACTTGTGAAGAAATGTGAAAGCACCGTTCAGCATCAATTAGTAGGTGGTAAAACGCGAAACAGGACTTTAAGATTTCGCCGCAAGAGACGCCACTGTTCGGCTAGCAGTTTCAACATTTTGTCACTTACTAACTGGCGTTGTACAAAGGCCGGAAAAACTTCTTGATTTTACTACAAGAGTCGCCACTATCGCAATACCTAGGATAATGAGTGCTAAATTAGAAAGCTTGAAGAATCCCGTGTAATTGTAAATGAACGGAACTCTACTTATTACATGAAAAATGAATTGTGTTGGATGCTTTTATTAACAATGAATAAAAAATAAAGGTATTCCTAAAAAAATTATATGCCATTCATAATTCAATGTTGGCCATTTGGGGTCCTCTCTTCCGTTTCTCCTTCTTTGTCTTCGTTGTTCCTTTGTTCTCCATTCGAGATTCGACTGATCGGCGATAAGGATTAAAGTATCCCGCTTCACGTTTTGTTATATTGAGTTCCTGAGTCACTAAATGAATTAGCTCTATCGTTTTCTCGTCTAATAAATGTCGACTACAATTTGTGAATTTTAAAGACCAATTCAGAACCATCTTCCATTTTGGTTGCGTTTTCAATATCCGGTGAGTTACATCCGGAAAATGGAGAACGATATCTCCAAATAAAGCTGTATTTTCTAACACGATGGTCAGCGCTATAAAAATTGAAAGAAGTATATGTACATGTATTTAATTATTAACGATATTTGTTTGAATTTACCGCTTTGCACCGTGACGTTCCGTGGTAATGATCTATCGTCCGGATCGAAGTCGCCGTCTTCTATCAACAATTTACTCGACTCTATCACGTCGATCATTTTCTCACCAAGCACCATTATCATTTTGTAAAGACGTTCGTAGCTATCTATCCTTTCGAGACGTTTTATAGCAGCTGCATGTTCATTTCTTTGTAGACTGAATGTTCTTCTGACTAATAGAAAAAGGGTTAAGGTGTATTATCTATACAGACATTTATCTATTCAGATTGAATAATTTTAAAGGGATACATAATTCCTCGTAGACTGTACTTTCATGCGAATCGCCATTTCCCGCCTCATTGCCAATTGACTGGTCATTTGCTATCGCATCATCCAGTTGCGTTTGCGCAGTACATGTCAACATTGATACGACTACTATGCAAATGTAAACGAATGCGCGTGGCATCTTATCGGCCTGTAAAACGCGTAGGAATAAATGTTCAAATAGAAAGGTATACACCGTTTGATACTAATCACGTTACAAGGTAAGAATTGATCCTTGAATTTCGGCGATTTTTAGATCCTTCCAGGACGATTTGTAGAATTTCGACCGGCATTTAAGCCGCAAATTTTGTCGACGTAAACTGTATATGTATAATTGCGATTATCGCAATATGTACAACTGTCGCCACCTATTCATTCTGACATCGAATATGTCAACTCCGACGTTTCAGTTGGAATTGGAAATAATTAAAAGACTCGTTAGTTAACTAGTTCGTTATTATGCGACGGTTAAGGATAATCGACACGTAATGCATATATGTGTTTTTAGATTTTTTATTGACACAGTTCCTGGATAGAAGGAATCGCAAGAGTTTGTGCATACACAGTGTCTATCACAAGATGTTTCACGAACGTGTTAATTGAAGGATTAATTCACACTGTGTACACATGGCAGTGATATAACTTGATATGACAATAACATAAGATCGCCTAACGTCTAAGTAACATAGTTAATTACGGTGCATTTCAAGTTAACGATTCGATGATGGCAAACTTGGCAGGAACGGGTGATACAAATCTCGACGTGAGTATACTTTTCAAAAGTAATGTATCCAATTTTTCTATTATACTTAGTGTTAAAAGTTCTATGATATTCTAATGATATATGTAGCAATCAGTTATTGAGATCTCACTATTCGAAACATTAAATTTTATTGAGGTTAGAGCAATGATTATAATATGAATATGTGATTTCAAGTTTAAAGTTGACATGGAATATGCTGATCCTCAAAATGTGGAAGGTGATATGACGGTAGGAGCTAAGAAAAGTTCAAATCTCGGAGAACCTGAATTTAATACTTTAGATGAACCAATTAAGGACACAATTGTAAGTCCATGTTTTAAAGTTGATAACCATTGAGGGAAATGTTGAATTTATTAGAACAGTAATGTTTTCTGTAGCTCAGAGATGTTCGAGCTGTGGGTAAAAAATTTTATCATGTTTTGTATCCTAAAGAGAAGAAAAGTCTACTGAAAGAATGTAAGTATATATAGATTGTTATTTAAATAGTGTAGTAATTAATAAAACAAATTTTAATTGATGGTCTCAGTGAAAAAGTTGTAACAAAGAACCTTTCATATTTCAGGGGATCTTTGGGGACCGTTAGTATTGTGTACATTCATGGCAATGTAAGTGTAGCATTTCAAGTAATATGTAATTGCACCGTCCAAAATTTGGTTAATCAAAACTACGCAGGATTCTTATTGTTTTAGGATACTGCAAGGTTCTTCTGATGCAGCAGATGATTCCAATGATGGAGGACCAGAATTTGCAGAAGTTTTTGTAATTGTCTGGATTGGATCTATGGTAGTTACACTGAATTCAAAGTTATTAGGTGGCAATATGTAAGTAATTGTATCATTGATAAAATTAATTTCATTTCTATATGCTAATGTTTTGTTAAATTGTTGCAGATCTTTCTTCCAAAGTATTTGTGTCTTAGGATACTGTTTGCTGCCAACTGCTATAGCTCTAATTTTATGTAGAATCATTTTAATGGCAGAACAAACAGTTTTTCTATTTAGTTTAAGGTTTCTTATTTCCATGCTTGGATTCGCGTGGGCAACATATGGTTGGTATAAGATTATATGCCTTCATTTTCATTCTTTATCACCTACATTTTTAATATAATTAGATATAAATATATTTCAGCATCAATGGCATTTCTTGGTGACAGTCAGCCAGTAGGGAGGAAAGCTTTAGCTGTATATCCAATATTCCTATTCTATTTTGTAATTTCGTGGCTGGTAATATCTCATACCACATAAAATAAAATATAAATTGTTTGTAATAATGAGACTATACATTGTTCAGTATTTGTGCACAAACTAACAAAGACATTGAGTAATTCAGCAGACCATAGCCTATGGTTCACTTTATTACTATAATATACTTTACAATTCATAGAGTCTAAGTATATACCACACTAAGTTTGCTGTAGATAAAATAGTAGGTATATATATATGCATTTTAGAAAATCACCAGTTTGTATGTCAATTGCAATTATCTATACATTCATGAATGTAAAGTATGAAGTAGTGAACGACAGTCAAGTAAATTAGTAAATTCGTATATATTTATACATAAGTCTCATAAAAAGAATTGGCTGATGTGATACAGAAAATGTTATCGATAAATATTGCAATTATTCTATTTATACAATCTTCCAAGATAATTTCTTAACATTTAAAAATCGCATTTTTATCAACCGAGTTTTCCGCAAGTTGACATTCCTATTAAAATGCTTAACTTATTAATTGACAGAATTGAACAAGTCACAATTTCTACTCTTTATATATACATATATGTGTACATAATGTTAGCTGTAAAATTGAAATCAAACATTAAATAAAATATATCATTTTTATAACGGGAAAGATTTGCTCTGTAATTACCTTGCTTTTTACATATGTGAAAAATATTTCTCCAATTTTTTTAGAAGACTTTTGCTATCGCAGTGTCCGGGATATGCGCTCAAAGACTTTTGCACCGCAGTATAACTTGTCTGCAAGTCTCCAACCTATGGATTTTGATACGATTTATAACTTCATAAGCTAATTATTAGAATAATTTATAGGATACCATTACCTCATAAGCCAAGTAAGCACTGTTAAAATGAGGTTCATAAATGAAATTTGCAATATTTGCAGCAGCATGGAAATATGTTCGAGCTGCTGTTAGATTTCCATTTCGTATCTGTATAACTCCAAGATTATTGTATGCTAACGCATGTCTATTGTCATTTACAATAGTAAGTTTCAAACATTCTTCTGCCATTGTTATATCACCTACTGTCTGAAATTTCTTGTGAGTTAAACTATTGAAGAACATGATTGAAAGTACTAAAAATAGTTTGTGTACCTACTAGAGCAATGTGGGAAATGTTATACCATACATCTGCTGCGTTTTCATCTGTAGAAAGATTAAGTGCCCTTTCAAAGCATGATATAACATGATCATACTGCTGGGAATAAAAACAGCATAATCCAAGATTGTTGAATAGCTCAACATTGTACACACCCATCTGTAGCAGTCGTCTATGTCGGAAATAAGAAGAAATTGAATTTTGTATCATCTTTATCTGTTACATCTATATTTACTTGTACCTATAGAAACGTAAAGCCAGTTCTGGCTGATCATTATAGAAATGATGCATGCCGATGCTGGCTATTGCTTCCGTATGCGAAGCATCTTCCTGAACAACCATTTTATAATACTTCAATGACATACTTGCATTATTTAAACCATCAAATATGCGTCCCATTTCAGTAAGAATATTTACATCGCTAGGAAAATACTCGAGACCCTTTTTACATGTCTCTAAAGCTGTCAATGGTTGATCTAGCCTAATATATACCCTGACTAGTCTCAACACAGATTCAATAGTTTTGCAATCTTTCAATGCTGATTTAAACTGCTGTTCAGCATCTCTTATCAATCCTAAACTATAATAGCATTTGCCAAGTTGCACTTTCCACCACCAATCTTTGTATTGACAGACTTGTGTTGCTTGAACTGCCAAGTCTAGCGCCTAAGAATATTTTTAGTGATCCTTCACTGTTAACTAGATATTTTAAGTAATGCATACTTACATATCTTACATCGTGTTCATGATAATATATATATTCAAATAATGGTTTTGCAATGCTAGGTTGACTAGCATACTTTGCAATGTTCAAACGAGACAGTTGTATGAATGGTCCTCCAGGCTCTGTTAACATGGATGCTGTACCTAATCTATACATTACAAAGTTATTAATATTTTAATTGTTATTTGAGAATTCTGGAAGTAATTTAGTAGGGAGTGTACCTAACACTGCGACTAGAATTTGCCGTAATTGGTCTGGCAGTCATGGCAGTTCTTGGTGTTTTCAATGTCTGCTCGAATGACTGAGATATTGCAGACTGTGTAGCTGGCCGTACAACCCCTGTGAGTGGCCTTCCTACAAAATTAATACATCATTTATATTTGTTTGTAATCAAGCAAGAACTTTATTATTTAAAGACATATTGAAGTTTCTAAATAAAACCTGATTGCGTCTTGGGTCGTAGATATAGTCCTGTATGACTAGTGCCAGGATTTTTTAAGGATGTACCGGGTCTAGGCATAGAAGATATGCTATAATTATCTAGTAAGCTTTCAGCAATTCCTTCTTCTTCTCCTTCTATATCATCTACATATACTTGTAATGTTAAGGCACGCATTTTCAACACCCACACAGCCTGTGATAAAATAAATTGTATGATAATTAGCATTATATAAAGAATAGTTGATTAAACTTTTGCATACCTGGTCTAATGGATTTTTTCTTAACAATTCTGAACAGACTGCTGCACATTCTTCGTATTTTCCCCTACTAAATAAACTGAGAGCTTTGAACAATTCCATGAATGCATTTAAAAAATACCTAAGAAAAAAATTATGAACATTGATTAAATTGTGAGAAAATAGCTTATTGTTTTAGGATATCGTACTATTGTACCTGTCTACAACTAAGTGTCTATGTATATTGTAGACGAACGATTTTTCCAGGTGAAAATATTGATTATTTTGCTTATAACCCTGACTGT